GAAGCTAACTGGTTTCTTCCCTCTCCCCTTTTAATTAACTAAAAATAATTATAACACAAGTTATACAACAAATAGCGGAGCAATGGAAACCAGCTGGATCGAGAGGAGGTTTGGAGTATTTTGCTTATGTTTTTTTTTTGTTTGTTTGTTTCATTTGGGGTGGTTTCCTTCTATAACCCAGGCTGACTTTGAATTCACAACACTCCTTTTTCAACCCTCTGAGCACTGGGATTATAGGCATGTGCCTCCACACCATGCCTCACCCAGTAAATCGGTTTTCTCTTGTGCACCAACACGCAAAAATTAGGCAATGCCAGAAACCCAAGGGGTTCACTTGGCATCTTTCTACAAAATAGAAGGGGACCCTCTCCAGACAAGTACTGAGGTGTATCCTCCTGGTACAGAAGCTGGACATGGAGGGCTTCTTCCTCTAGCTGGCACCATGTGAAAGTACACTCGAAATGTGTGCCGAGACTGTGCTAGAAAGGGTCCTGCGGCTGTAACTGGGTTGGTCTATAACTTGCTAGCAATATGCATTGATCCAGAGATGGGGGCAAGGCTAGCCGGGCAGCACGTGTGCAGTAAGTTACCCTTCCTGACTGCACTCTGAATCTCTGCCTCTGACCCCTGACTGCAGCCTCCTGCTCTGTCATTGTCCATCTCAGCACGGTGCCGCACCACCGGGAGGCTGAACCACACACCCAGACCCATCTATTCTAGAGGTCTTTCTGCTTCGCCTGCCACATCCAATCCATCAGCCGGCTCTGTCGGATCTCCCACCATCATTTGGAATCTCTCCTCCTTTTCATGAACTCCGTAATCTAAACTCCAGATCCATTCCCCTGACGTGATATTTGGCCGCCCACCGGGGAAATTTACAGACTCTCTTGCCAACCTTCCTTGCCCAGGATTCACCACCACCAAGCTGATCTTCCGCAGCAATCACCCTAATAGCTTAAGACGTAAGGTCATGTGGAGGCAGACACCTTGAGTTCCATGACTCAGGAAATAGAGGCAGATGGATTGCTGTGAGTTAAAGACTATCCTAGCAGATATAACCAGTTCCAGGCCAACCAGGGCTACACAGGGGACCCGATCTCAAACACAAACAAGCCCATAAACAGCAAGGAACTTGAGACAGGTGCTAGAGACATCACCCAGTTGGTTGGGTGTTTGCCTGGTGTGCAGGGTGTCTCAGGCTGGATCCCCTGCATCAGCTTGGTGATGCACACTTGTAATTCCAGCACTCTGGAGTTCCAGGCAGGAAAATCAGAAATTCAAGGTCATCCTTGGCTATGTACAGAATCTGAGGCCAGCCTAGGATAAGAAAACCTTTCTGTGCTGCAGAATTCTGCTAAGAGTACAACCTAAGTGATGAATTACAATCTTTCCACCCCATCATGGTCTACCTCAGCCCACCAGCTCCACCACAGTGACAAATGCCAGCCCCACCGGTACACACACACACACACACACACACACACACACACACACACATCACCCTCACCCTCATCAAACGCTCTCTACCCTGGCCATGCTGTCTTTCTGGAAAGCCTTGCCAGCTTCAGCACTGCAGACCCTCTCAGACTATCTAATGCTGCCGTCTGCCTCATCATTATTGCATTCTATTTTTATAACACTTTCACTACGTGACGTTGCTCATACTTGGCTATTATCTGTTCCCTCACAAGAAAGGACCTTTCCTGCCTTCTCCAGAGATATCTTCACGGGCTAGAAAGGAGTTTGGCACCTAGAATGAGTTCAGTTTGTGTATTTAAGAATAAATGGGGCCGGGCGATGGTGGCGCACGCCTTTAATCCCAGCACTCGGGAGGCAGAGGCAGGTGGATCTCTGTGAGTTCGAGACCAGCCTGGTCTACAGAGCTAGTTCCAGGACAGGCTCCAAAGCCACAGAGAAACCCTGTCTCGAAAAACAAAACAAAACAAAAACAAAACAAAAAAAAAAGAATAAATGGGACAGGCGTGGTGGCTTACTTATTCTTAAACACATGCCTGCAATTCTAGCACTTGGGAGGGGGTGGTAGGGAGATCAGAAGGTCAAGGTCACCCTAACTACACAGTAAACTCAGAGAACCTGTCATAGAAAAAAAAAATGAAACCACAGCAGGCCGGTGAGATGGATCAGCAGGTAGAAGGTGACTGCCATCAGTTCCAAGGACCGGGGTTCAGTCCCCAGAGTCCACATGGTGGAAGGAAAGAACAAAACCCCCAAAGTGTCCTACACACACACACACACACACACACACCTTTCCTCTTCACCCACCATCTCCTTTCCCTTCTCTTCAGGCTTCATCTTTCTGCAAGCCTCCTTCATACCGAAGGCTCTTCACTCCATCTCTAAAAGGAGCCGTTGTCCCCAGGACAAACCGCCACACCTACTCACACAGTTTCCAGAAATAGGCGCAAAGACCCTGTTGCCAACGTGTGGTTTTGTGGTTAGTGTTGTTGTTTAACCCAGGCTGGCCTGGAACTCACTCCTGCTTCTATTTCCCATGTGCTGGGATGACAGGTATGTGCCCCTGCACCCAGGGGTGCTGGTAACCAAACTCTGGACTTGGTCTATGCCAAACCAACGCTCTGCCAGTGGAGCCACATCCACAGCTCTTCGAAGTAATGTTCATTCTGCTCAGCAGAAGCGGGCCTGGGTCCACAAACAGGCCCAACACAGAGCATCCATCCACCTGCTGCCCCTCCTGTGCAGGCTATGGGCACCCCCCCCCAGGCCCCATTAAGGCTAAGACAGTAGAGAAAGAAGCGTATGGTCCAGGGGTCAGGGCATTACCTCCAGGCTGAGTGCCATCTGCCGAATGTAGAGCATATTGAGGTCCTCCAGGATGTGCAATCTGTCCTGCATCTCTGTGTGCCCTAGAGCCCTTCCCTTGCTGCCCAGAGAGAGCTCAGACAGGCAGCACGCTGTCCCTCAGTTCCTCCTCCCACTGCTCCCTGGGCTTGAGAGAGGTGTCCAGCTCAAGACAGAATGAGGAGGCTGTCCCTGTCCCTCTGCAGTCCTGTCAGACCCCTCTGGCTTCTGTGACAAAACTTCCTCTCATAGGGCTGTTCCAAGGCCTTGATAGGAGCCAGGCAGAGGAGGAAAAAAAGTGAGGTGAGAATGAGCAGGGGCTTCTGGGAGGAGAGGCCAGCTGCAGAGGGGGCTCTGGGCACAGAGTGTCCAGCCTTGCTTTGGTGGCAGCTGTTCTCCCAGCTGGGGAAGAAAAAGGTCCTTTCATTCCCATTTTGGCCCCTCCCCCGCTCCCGCCCACATCCCAGGCCAGGCCGACTGAGAAAGTGCGTGCCGTGAGGGCAGTGAGGGGCAGGCACAGCTGGAAGGGGGCAGGGAAGGGACGCCTCCTGCTGATTCTACGGAATCCTGGGGCTGATCCGGAGATCAGAACCCACTGAGGGAGTTCTGGCTTAGTTTGAGAAAGTTAACGGCAGAAGTGAGGACTTGAGGAGCCTTGAGCCCAGGGAATGGGACAAAGGGGTGAGTCTGTAAAGCGGCCCAGACCCAGGGTCACCCCTTCCAACGCCGGCCCCCATCCAGCACGCCACACCCTGGGCTCACAATTACCTCGCTTTTCCAGCAGAAGGGAGGAGAGAGAGGGAGAAAGGCGGGGGTGTGCCTGGCTGCTGCTGGCCCTGCTCCCCTCTGCGGGCCCCTTCCCTTCCAGACAGGAAACCAGCCCCGGGTCCCAGCCAGCTGCAGGGCTGTCCGCCCCCCCCCTTACCCCCCCACCCCGGGCCTATGGAGTCACACTCTACCCAGCGGCAGGCCTGGCCCTGCAGCTCCGCCCTACTCAGCTCTGGCCCCCAAGGCCTGGCATATCCTAGCGCTGCTCAGGATCACAGGCCCTTCCTCCGGGTCCCCGGCTTCGTCCCTGGCTCCCCCACGCTAGCCACGCGCAGGTTCCTTGGGTCTAAGTAGCTGGGGTGGGAGGATGACAAAAGCTCTCCACTAGCTTCTGACTCAGAGAAAGCCTGGGACAGCGCGACAGGAGTGTGAAAGAGCCTTTGTTCTGGGCAGCCTAAAAGGAAAGGGCAAAAGCCAGGCCTGGAATCCGGGGAGAGTGTGTGCGTGAGTGTGTAAGAACCACTTCGTTTAACTCTTCCCAGGCACGGGAGGGAGGGAGACATCGAACTGGGACCTCCTTAAGCATGTGGGAGACTGACTTTGGGGGTGTAAGTCTCTTTGGGATGGCTAAGCGCCTCTCATTTCTGGCTCCAGCCATGGGCCTCCAGAGCCTCTCCAGTTTAGGGACTTTTAAAAAGTCCCTAAACTTAAAGCATAGGACTCCGAACATACAGGCAGGGGTACCCTGTTGGTGGGAGTGGTAACTTTCAGTCTAGAGGCTGGATTCCTTAGATCCAAGAAGGGAGGTGGAAAGTTTGGTTGTGGAAAATTTCTCCAGAGTGAAAACAGAGAGAGAGAGAGAGAGAGAGAGAGAGAGAGAGAGAGAGAGAGAGAGAGAGAATATGAGACAGCGAGAAAGCGCTAGAGTTGGAGGTTACTCTGAGAAGCTTGTTGCCCTTCAGGAATAAGGGCATTGGGAGGGCTTCGGAAAAGTCACAGAACTAGGGAGCCCACAAAGGAGGCTGGGTTAGGGGGTCGGTACAGAGTGTGGGATGCTACTGGCAGCTGGTAATCAGTTGGAAGCCAAGCCAAGAACACAAGGATTGGAAGATGCCTGACTGCCCACTGCCTTTGGCATTAATGGCATGCTGGAGAGACTTGGGTCAGTCATAGTTCTGGAATTGAGTTTAGGGCCCCTCATATGGAGGACCTTTCCAGTCAGAAGCAAATTACCCCAACCAGGCAATGCGTGGGCTCGCACAGAGCGGACGGATCCGCACCCTGTCCTCATCTGGCTTTCTAAGTCAACAACTTGAGCTAGAATGGACCCAGATCGCGGCGCGCCCAGGAGGCAGGATAGCCGGGGCCACCTGCCAGTACTGGGAGGGGAAGGCAAGGACGCGGCCTCTCACCTCCGGCGGGTCGCTGAAGACACTAAGTCGGAAACGGCCTCGTTTGAATTCCATCTCCAGGGCGGAGCCCCTGGCCACTGTGACCCGGCTCCGATGGTTTCGAGAGAACATGCTTGCAGCCCCTTGCTCAGTGTGCTCCCTGCGCTCCTGGCATCAGTCTCCCGCGGGCTTGGACTCCGGTCCCTCGACGGCCACCCTCCCACCAGTGCAGCCGGGAATCTCCCCAGCTGCCCGGTTCCCAAACCCCGCCCCCGGAGACGACACCTGGGCTGGGCAGGGCGCGGCACCCTCCTCTTCCACCCCCGCTAAAGGCCCGGCCCGTAGCCGGGCACCAAGCCAATCTGGGTCGACAGTTTCAGAGCCAAAGGCACCCTAAATCACTCCAGCACGGCCTGAGAACTTCCACGCTTCTGGCTGGATTAGCTCACCTGAACTAGGGCTGGGTCCCCGAATACCCTCCCCAGCTGCAGCCCCCACCTGTCAGACTGGGGTTCTGGAACTTGGAAAACACTAGTCACAGGGATGGCTCACTATGCTCCCTGGTTCTAGCCTGACTTGGTACCGCACAAGTCTCACCTTTTAAGCCACAACTTCCTATAGCTGACCGCATCTCTCCCTTTTAAGCTTCCCCGCATGGCTACCCGACCCTCCACAGTGGCCTCGATTCATAAAAAGTATTTAGGAGGGTCTTGAAAGTTCAGTTGCTTCCCTATTGGACCACAGAACCTTGGTCCAACCACTGAACTCTCTAGTCTATTCTATGAGGATATTGTAGTCTCAGTTGCTACAAAATTCATAGATGGGAATGAAAGTGAAGCCCTCACAGGGAAAGCCCCCGATAAGCAGAGCTACAAAGACTGGGGAGCAGGTCCTCAATGACTGAGTCCCTAGATGCACCTGAACTTTAAGTGTCTTAAGAGTGTCAGGACTGTTCCCGGCATGATGGGGCAAAGCTTTATTCCAGATCTCAGGAAGCAGACGTGGATCTCCATCAGTTTGAGGCCAGCCTGGTCCACAAAGCAAGTTCCAGGACAGACAGAGCTGTTATACAGAGAAACCCTGTCTCAAAATACAAACAAACAAAAAATCCAAAAACAAAACAACAACAAAAAAAAGAGTGTAAGACCTGGCTCTCTCTACGATGCTTGCCAGGGGGCAGAGCCCGGGGTTCTCAAGAACAGGACTCCCTAGAAGAGCTCAGTGAGACCAAAGGGAATGGCAGAGGACTAGTTGGTTCACTTGCCAACTAAACAGAGTCTCCTGGAAACTTCAGAACTGGCTGGGTAGAGTTTGAGAAAGGGTGGGGCTACTACAGAGCAGATGGCAGGAGCCAGCTTGCAGGGCAGCCAACTTGGAAGCCCTGTGCAACAGTCTCTTAGAAAGTGGACTTAAACCACTTCAGCAAAAGATGGAAAGCACAGGCTTATACACCTGATAAGTGCAGGGGTCTGGCTTTAGGTGTGGCTTTGACCCAGGCATCCAGAGTCACAAAGATTCTGTGTTTTGTTCACACGCGCACACGTGCATGCACACACACACCATTTTGCTCTACTTCCCTTCATATTGTTCTTATCTTCAATAGCATAGCAGAACAATATTGCTGCCAAAAATCCTGGTACTGCATCTTTCAGATGGAAGTTCAACTACCGCCCGTCCCCCCCATCCCCCGCCTGCTGCAAAAGAACAAACATCTGCTGCTTGAGGCTTCTGCACATGTCTGGGATTCCTGCTTAGCCATCTGAGATCACTCAAGCATCCCCAACACATCCTGTAGCCAGAGGATTAACTAGACCTGAACCAGTCACCCTGGCAAAGACTCACAAGGTGTGCTTGCGGCCACACCTGAGTCACTTGGTCACTCCTAGAGAGCAACTAGAACCCAATCATCTGGAGGGGGGGAGGATAGGAGGGAGAGGTTCCTCAAAGGATGCTTCAGATACTACCAACAGGTGAGGAAGTGGATGGTGGCAGGAAGAAAGACAGCCATCCACCTTCATCCTCCTACACTCACACAGCTGTGACAGTTGATATAAACTCTAATGATGGATGAGGGAAAAGGAGACAGGCATGTTCTCCTCCTTCACTCCACAGGTCCACTACTGCTGCTCTAATAGGTGAGCTTTCCGGAGATGGGCAGTCATCTCATTCCTCTCCCATCCCCTGTACATCTCAAGTACTCAATAAACAAAAGCCACACTGGATTTAAGATGGCTCATTAAAGCCACGTCGCAGATTAAAACAGCTCATTACCCCGCCATGAATAACAGTGAACACCAGTAATCCTAGCACTCATGAGGTTAAGGCAGGAGGATTGCTTGGAGTTTGTGGCTAACCAGTGCTATATAGTAAGAATCTGTCACAAAAAGGGCAGGGGTTGTGGAGATGGCTCAGCAATTAAAAGTCCAAATCCTCTTCCAGAGGACCTGAGTTCAGTTCCCAGTACCCAAGTCAGGAGGCTTACAACTGCCCCTAACTCTAGCTTTAGAGGCATTCAACGCCTCCGGACTCTTCAGGTACCTACACTCACACACACACACACACACTCACACACTCACTCACTCACTCACTCACACACACACTCACTCACTCACACGCGCACACACACACTCTAGATCTTTTACAAAATCATTCATCATGATAAATATTAATTGGATTGGAGAAGTATTTCAGTGGCAGAGTACCTGCTCAACATGTACAAGACCCTAAGTACCACAAACAACTAAAGAGGTTCATTTCCAGCTGGACATGGTGGCACATGCCTTGATCAGAGGCAGGAGGATCTCTGTGAGTTCAATAATACATAGCGAGTTTCAGAACAACCAGAATTAGACAGTGAGACCCTGACTTAAAAAAAAAAAGCAAAACAAACAAAACAACATGTCCAATTTCAGTGTTTGCTTTCCAGCACAAAACCCATTTTTCCAAGATGAAATGTGACCTGGGATGGGTGACACCGCTTTGAGTCCAGCGTGGGACAGAATCAGGTTCTGGAGTCTCGGGGCCGCTCTCAGCACCCCTGTGGCGCAGAGTACAAGAGCTTCTAGGCTTACAGAAAGGATGGCACAAGCAGTAAGATGGCCTTTTGTGCAAGGAGCTGTGGAGGAGCTGTGCCTGGGCTGGTGAAGCCAGCCTGCAGGACTCAACAAGAGAGAAGAAATAAGAGAAAAGATAGTCATGGATTGATTTTTAAATTGAAATTTTATCTGGCAAAGTATTTACAGCCAATAAGACGTCTCGGCATGTAAAGGCACTGGTGCCAAGCTCTCAAAGACCTGAACTCTATCACAAGGGGACCACATGATGGAAGCAGAGAATCAGCTCCTGAAAGTTGTCCTCTGATGCACACACACACACAAACACAAACACACACGCACAAGTGTAAAAGAAAAAATTAATATGTTTTTACCAAGACAAGGTTTCTCTGTGTATCCCTGATTGTCCGGGAACACACTCTGTAGACCAGGCAGGCCTTGAATTCCACCTGCCTCTGCCTCCCGAGTGCTGGGATTAAAGGTGTGCACCAGCCACCATGTTAAGCTAAAAGAAAAAGATAAGGAGAGCTGGAGAAATCATAAGCCAGTTAAGAGCACTGGCTGCTCTTCCAGAGGAGCAGAGTTCAGTTCCCAGCACCCAAGTCAGCTTCACAAGCACCTGCAACTCCAGCTCCTGTGCTTCTGTCCTCTGGGCCCCCGCCCTCATGTGCATCTACCCACACACGACATACACATAACTAAAGATTAAAAATGAATATGGAAGCCAAGCGGTGGTGGCGCACGCCTTTAATCCCAGCACTTCGGGAAGCAGAGGCAGGCGGATCTCAGTGACTTGGAGATCAGCCTGGTCTATAGGAGTGAGTTACAGGACAAGGTTTCAAGGACAAGGACAGAGAAACCTTGTCTTGAGCCCCCCCCCAAAAAAAGAATGTGGTTTTAACGTTTATTTTAAAAACTAAAGCAAAGGTGGTCAATGCCAGATGCTCATTACTTCCTGGTCGTTTTACTATTATCTCCTTCTGTGTTTACTTCTCTGGCATCTGTAGCACAGAAATGTTACATTAAGCTATGAGGTTTGCCTATCTGCTCCTGGTTGTGTGTTTAGTGACTTTCCTGTTTGAATGGCTTCAATGAGAGTATTTACATAACAGACGAGGTGGCTGACTTTCCAGTGTAGCTTTTGTCAAACATTTACCAGTGTACCACTGGTTTCAGAGGCCTCTCTTTCCCAGGGTTTCCCATCATTTGGAGAAGGGGTGAGTCACACAGGTCGCAGATCACCTTCCTAGTTGACACAGGCACCCTCAGGAACATGCTGGTAGCAGGAGCTGTAGCTCCTTTAAGGCAGCTGAGGAACATTTGTCTGCTCTGCCCACCCCATGCCCTTCTTCCTAGACCTAGAGAAGCTGGACTGCTCCCAACTGGACTTTGAATCTTGGAGTGCAGACAAGCCCCAGTCAGAGTTCATGATAAATTCGCTGCAACTGCAGCCCCTGAAGACTCGATGCTTTTGGCAATGAAGCCTCATCAGGCAGTTCCTGGACATGGCTCCCATGTGATGTCTTGGCACAACCTCAGTCATGTGTTCCTTCGTCTGGCCCGCCTCTGTTCTCAGTCCTTACCCTGGGAGAGTCTAGTCTCAGCTTAGAACATCTGGTAGTGTCAGACAATAAAAGTGTGTCCAGGAGCCGATGAGATATGTCTCCGTGGGTAAAGGCTTTTGTCATGAAGACCGATGACCCGGGTTTGAGCCCCAGGAGTGGAAAGAGAGAACTGATTTCAGCTCTGTCTTCCTCAGGGTCTCTACTGCTGTGATGAAACACCATGACCGAAAAGCAAGTTGGGGAAGAAAGGGTTTCTTTGGCTTACTCTTCCACAGCACAGAAGGAAGTCAGGACAGGAACCCAAACAGGAGGCAGGAGCTGATGCAGGGGCCACGGAGGGATGCTGCTTGCTGGCTTGCTCCCTATGGCTTGCTTATGTCAAATTTACATAAACACTATTCATCAATGCACCATGGCACGCCTCCCTGCCCCCAAATAAATAAGTAATAAATGTGATTTTGTTGTTGTTGTTGTTTTGAGACAGAGACGTTCTGTTTGTCCTAGAACTAGACTAGGATAGCCTCAAAGTCACGGAAATCTTTATTCCTCTGCCTCCAGAGTGCTTGGATTAAAGACTTGTACCATCGCACCTAGCTTGCAATAAAAATTTATTTATATAAAATAATTTATTTTTAATTTTATGTGCATTGGTGTTTTGCCTGCTTGTGTGTCTGTGTGAGGGTGTTGGATCCCCTGGAACTATATTTACAGGCAGTTGTAAGCTGCCATGTGGGCACTGGAAATTGAATCAGGAACCTCTGGAAGAGCAGCCTGTGCTATTAACCACTAAGTCATCTCTCCAGTCCCTTGTAATAAAAATTTAAAACTCCTTTCTTGGCTGGAGAGATGGCTCAGAGGTTAAGAGCACTGGCTGCTCTTCCAAAGGTCCTGAGTTCAATTCCCAGCAACCACATGGTGACTCACAACCATCTGTAATAAGATCTGGTATCCTCTTCTGTACCGCAGGATACATGAAGGAAGAAACCTATAGACATCATAAATAAAAATCTTAAAAAATAAATAAATAAAACTCCTTTCTTGAACTGAGAATCTAAACTGATATAAATATACATGGAAATAAATAGAAGCCAGACATTCTAGCACACACCTGTAATTCCAGCACTTGGGAGGTGGATGCTAGGGAACGAGGAGTGCCAAGTCATCCTCCATCCTGGGCTACCTAATGAGCTCAAGGTTAGCAGCCTGGGCTATCGGACAAGCCAACCAAACAAGCAGCCACCCCTCAAAACAAACAACAGCAAAGAGGAAACCCTTCTTTACAGTGGTATGCTGACTAACGTATGACATGAAGGCAGTAATAAAACGTATATCATCTTCATGTATATCCGGCCCTCCACGGGAGAGTGTGGCAGGACCGTAAGGGCCAAAGGTCAGCAAGGCCGGGAGTGAAACTGTGTTCTGGACCACTGACCACACTCATGAGCTCACGGCAGCTGGGGTGGCCTGCACAAGGTCAAGCCAGTCAGCATTCTAGTGTGTGGTGGGGAGGGGATCCTGGGGCCTTGGCAGTTGATGACTTCTCAGGGAGAGTCGGTTTCCTTTGGGGGTGTAGCGCTAGTAGGCTGACCACTCTCTGGAGGATGGCCCGACACCCAGGAGTCCATAGGCAGTGCAAACTGGAGTTGACATGCAGCTGACGGGGATATGGGGGTAAGGGGTGGGTATGATTAAAATACATTGTATAAAGTTCCCCAATAATTAATAAAATATATATTTTTCAAACTAGATCATCTGAAAATTAGTAGGGCTGACTGCACAGTACCACTGGGTAAAGCCTGATCGGAGACGCGGGGATGGCTCTGAGGGAGATGAATGGTATAGTAATTCATCTCTTCAGAGCAGTTCCCCAGAAAATGTGCATGTTTCCGAAGACAAAAGTTGTGATATTGCGATTGGTAAGCTCACAACAGGCAACAGAGAGTGGGAGAAGCTGGTGACACCATCTGGACAGGGCTGAGCAAAGTCAATGTCACAGGTAGGATGGGAAGACGGTACTTCTGATGAACTACGCTCAGAGCACAGCAGAGGGACTGGAGTAAAGGCTTGGCTCTTGGGAGTGAGTTTTGCTCTTCCAGAAGACCCAAATTCAGTCCCCAGTGCTCACATCTGGTGGCTCACAACTGCCCGGAACTCCAGCTTGAGAGATGCAGGCCTCTGACCTCCTTACTCATGTATGCAAAACTAGGATTGTGTATGTTTGTGTGCATGGCGTGTGTGGGAGTGTTGGTGTGTGTGTGTGGGGGGGGTGCTGGTGTGTATGTGTGTGGGGATGCTGGTGTGTGTGTGTGTGTGTATGTGTGCTGGTGTGTGTGGCATGCTGGTGTGTGAGGGGATGCTGGTGTGTGTGGGGAGACCCTGGTGTGTGTGTGTGGGAAGCTGGTATGTGGGGAGGATGTGGGTGTAGGGGGGATGTGGGTGTGGGGGGATG